AGCCCACCCTCCTTATGCTGGTCTATGACCGTAATAAAGATTGATTTGACAGTGTTATGGTCAAGGTCCATAGGCCAGTTCCAGTTGGAGTGTGTTGAGGGGGAGAGGTCTAGCTCTTAGACCCCCACTCTTCAGGGTGCTTTTGGGCTCTACTCTCTCCCTGCCCCTATTTAACACCTACATGAAGCTGCTGGGTGAGGTCATCTGCTAATATGGGGTGAGGAATAATCAGTGTGTTGATGATACCAATTCTGCATCCCTGCTGTGGGTCAACCAAGTGATGCCGTCAGGTTCTTTCCAGTGTCTGGAGGCTGTGGGGGCCTGAATGGGGAAGAACAGGCTTTAGCTGAACCTTGACAAGACTGATAGGAGGAAAGCTGTGTTCATCTACAGGGGCAAAACATCAGGAAGAGTCTGGTAGCCCCTTTTCTGACTAACCCATTTTATTAAAAGGTATAAGCTCTCATAAGGTGCAGCTCACATCATCAGACACACAAAGTGGCTTGACTGATCAGGGTTTAAATCAGTCTCTACGTCTGATGAAATGAGCTACGTCTCACAGGGCTTCTGCCCTTTAATAAAATGTGTTGGGAAAAGGGGCTATCAGACGCCTGGTTTTTCTAACAAGACAAAGTGGCTGTGGGTTTTGAGGTCTCCCAGATCTGGAGACTTCTCATCTTTAACCCTGAAAGGGGCTGTATTCCCCCAAACAGAGTTAATGCACAATTTGGGAGTCCTCTTGGACTCACAGCTCTTGCTGTAGGAGCAAGTGGCAGTTGTGAACAGGAGGCTGTTGCACAAGTTCATCTTGTGCAGCAGTTGCCCCCTTTTCTGGATTGGGAGGCTCTACTCACAGTCACTCACCTTAGCCACCTCTCATTAGTCACCTCTCATTTTGGGGTTGTCCTTGAAGAACATTTGGAAGCTGCAACTGGTCCAGAATTGTTTTGGATGTATTGTGATATATTCACATACTACTATGCTGGCTCCTAGTGAGCTTCTGGGTGCAATTCAAGATGCTGGTTGTCATTTATAGAGGTTATCTGCCTGCCTGCCTCTGGTTGTCCCTGACCACGTCCCTGACCCACTAGACCCAACCCGGTGAATGTTCCAGGTCCCTTCTACTAAGCAGTGACATCCTGTGGGACCAGGAGACATGCCTTCTCGGCAGTGGTGCCTGCCCTACCCGGAGATTTGGAGGGTCCCAACCCTTTTGGCCTCCCTTAAAGTCATACAACCTGGTGTTTCCCTCAAGGGTTGGGTCCAGAGAGTTTCATGGTTAGCTGCTTGTTGTCTGTCTGTTACCAATCAGTACGATGGAAGAGGTTTATTTGGGTCATTGTATATTGACTGTTGTACTTGTTTTTAATTCTTTTGGACTATTGTTGCTTTTGTTTCATTTACTGCCCAGAGTCACTGGAGGGGGTTAGATGGCCATATAAATTAAGTGCAATTTGAATCAAAAACACGGGAGTGGGAGGAACGTGGGCAGCCTCCTTAGAAGAATCCATCTTTGCACAATCAGTGCCTTCAATCTTGGCTCCAAAAAAAAAAAAAACCCTCCATGGATCAAGCAACTCCATTGGCTTTACAAAAATGAAACAAGGAAGAAAAGTCTATTGCAGTGCAGAGAGAATAATTTTAGAAGAAGCTGGTGAGCAACAGAAGTCCTGGACACAATTTCTCAATACAATCAAAATCAGTGAGCTATTTCCACATTGACTCAAATGAAAAAATTGCACCACTTTTTAAAAATTTGAGCAATGGATGATTGAAACTCTGGTGGAAGTACTGATCAGCTATAAAAACAATATAAATCCAGGATAATTAAGAAAGCATCTCAAAGTCATAGATTCCTGGATTGGCTTTATTTCCGTCAGACTCTTTGCTTCCTTTAAGGAAGTAAAGAGAACAATGTTCCATTGTTCCACCAAGCTAGTGAGTTCTGGTCCCACCTTAGGTGCAAAGCCAGCTGGATGACCACAGGCTGGTCCTTCTCTTTCAGCCCTAGGAAGGAGGCAACACTGACTCAACGGCACCAAAAAAATGACATTAATATTTACTAAGGGTCAAGCACAACCAACTGAAGCAAGTTGGCTTCTGTCCCTAAGGCTCAGTGGTCACCTTGGGCCAGGTTCAGATTCCTTGGGGAGAACCAAGCAGGCAAACCAGGCTAAAGACAGATGTGCCACATTGTCACAAAAGGACCTGGGAAGGGGCAGGGACAGGCGATGTCCAAAGAAGCGAGGCTGGCACTAGTGGCTAGCAAGATGCAACCTGCTGAGGTGGGTGTCCTTGTAGCCTCTTTTGCAGGTAATCCGACTGAATGTCCAGAGTCGCCCGGGATCCTCGATGAACCAGTCGGTGGTTGTCAGCAAGGCCAAGAACACCATCGTCTATTATGTCACGTCTTCCAGTAACCGAACAACAGCCGTCCTGTTTGACTGCAAGAATGTGAGCACACGGACCCTCCGGGTTGCCTTTCCTAATTGAAGGGGAGAATGTGTGTAAAGCACGCTTTTGGAGGTGGGAAGAGGGTGCAGGCGATGATTTGCCAGAAAAGACACTTCTGCTACGCAACCATGGGGCTGCCCTGGCCAAGCCACGTTTGTGCAGCTGGCATGAGAGGGAAATGATTGTGTCTACCGCACAGGGATGTGGGGAAGGCGGAAGAGGCAAGGTCTGTGAACAGCTGGGTCTTCAGTGCTGCAGCCATTTTTAGGAATGGATGATGAGACGTGAAGGGTGATGCTCCATTCTGCCAGAAACACCATGCACACGGGTTCGATTCTGTGCTGGCAGCCAGCTTTAGGTCAGCAGGGCAGCAGTCAACTGCCCCTTGATGACCCGGGGCTGCTGCTAGCCCCCTGCTCAGAAGGCAAACAACAGGTCTTACTGCTCATCGGACCCCCACCCCGCGGGAGGAGCGAGCGCTGGGTGATCCAGGGTTAGGACTCTGCTCTGGCAGACATACCCTGACCCACCCAGAACCTGGGGGAATCCCGAAAGCCTTTTCCCGCTCTTCTTCCTTCAGCTCGTCTGAAGGGCGGAGATGCGGAGTCGTCTGGCTTCCACTCAGGCTGCCTGTAAGGTCTCATTCTCGCTGTTTCTCTCCTGGGGCAAGCAAACCACAGCAGGCACAGGTGGGCCTTTGGCATGACAGGAAAGGGAGCCACCGAGGTTAGACTGATGTTGGGGTAATCCAACTGGGTGACTTTAATGGATCTCCTGCTTTGCCTGGGTCCTCTGCGCAGGGTTACGTCTGCTATAAGCTGCCAGGGCAGAGCAACTGTTACCTGAAGAGGATGGACGCCAGGGATCACAGCGCTGCCCAGGCATCCTTCAACCTGTCAGAGCACAAGGTGAGTGCCTGCAAGAGCCTGGGAAGAATCCAGCCTCTCTCTCTCAATCTCTGGGGTGGGGACTGCTCTCTTGGTACAAGGCAGCCTTTCCTGCCAGGCAGCTTTGGGAACAGGGGAGATACTCTCCAAATTTCCAGCTAGCATCTGTGGGGCAGCAAATAGAGGAAGGCTGGTATAGCTGAAGGGCATAAGGGAACCAAATCAGTTTTCCTCTCCAAAAGTTAATTCATCACTCCGTAGATCAGTTATGACTCGCCTCAACTGCTGAACCAATTCTAGGCAGTGTGCAAAAACAAACCATTGAATCAGGTTAACGTAGCCACAGTATGCTGATGGAAAGAGATTTCCCAATAACCATCAAAGCAAAATGGCCCTCCATGCATAGGAGCAGTATATCTCTGAATATCAGAGCCTTGTTCCTAGGAACAAGACAGGAGGCCCATCAGGACTTATTTAGCAACCTACTGTTGGAAACCTGACTAGCTGGTGGCTTCACTTCCATCATTCTCTTCCCTGATCTTGTGAGGCACGCTTAACACTCTCAAGTGCTTGTCATCACCTCTGTTTAAAGCAAATTTTTCAAGAGGTGATTGAAATCCACAGAGACCATTGGAAGCAGCCATTGTTCCCTATAGCTCTCAGGCTGGCACTGGTTGCCCGGCATCTCGGGCCAGCCGAGCCTCAAGACAGGCTTGGCTAGAGGCCCCAAGGATGAAACCTAAGAGACTTACGATCCAAGAGACTCACACCCGCTTGGCCCTCATCGTGCAATTGTGCACTTCAGCATACGACCCCCATTCGCAGCTTTACTGGCCTTCTGGTGGGGAGACACACCTCTGCCTCCACGCAAAACTTTCTGCAGGGCCTCCAGAGGTCAGCAAACATCCAAATAGCAGAAGCGCAATTTCTTGCCACTTTTCCAAGCAGAAGCCAAAGTCTCGGCCTTGGACTGCCAGTGGGCTTAACCCACCTTTAAAGCCCCCTCTGCAACCAAAAACTGTGTGACAATCCCAACCCCACGCCCACCCCATTGTTGATGTCGGGTGGCTCCCGCCCTGCCCTCAGCCATTCCTGAGCCGGGATATGATTAATTATCCCCTAAACCAGCGATGGAAGAACAACAGTCAAAATCCTGGGGGCTGGCAAACTCACCGCTTCAGGCAGTTCGGTTCAGGTGAGCGAACAAAGCTGCTTTGTCAGAAGGGCTGCTGCTGCAGAAGTCGGAACGATTTGCTAACAGCTCACCAGTCATGTTAAGGGCAGAGGTCTGATTTCGGGAAGACAGAGGGCCCTGTTTGCTGCAAATGCCAGAAGAAAGCTGGGTGGGCTCAAGTTTCTGCTCTGCCCATTCAGGAATGGCGTTCCTCACCAACACGGCTAAGACGCCTCCAGAAGTAGGGAGGACAGGGAACGCGGGGCAGTTGCTCATGCAACCCACGCAGCCCCAGCCAGGGGGTTAGAGGAACAGCAACGACGTCTCTAAGATCTACTTCTGCCTGGGCAGCCCTCCCAGGGCTGCTTTGGCCCTTATTCACTTCTTCTCCAGGGGAAGGGGCATGGAAAGGGTGCAGGGCAGGCTTCTTCAAGGACCCCAGACAGGTGGAGGGCTCAGACAGATGGCGCAAGCGGCCTGGGTGGAGTGCCTGAGGGCTGCAAGGGGCTGAGTGGGCAGTCTGGGCCCCTCACCCGTCTTTCCTTCCTTTCTTCGCCAGGAGGGTCCGCCAGTGCTACCCAGTGATAGTACCCAATACTACCGAGAGTTCCTGGGGGTTGTGCCAGGGAGCCTGGTGCGGCCAGCGGAAGCAGGAGAGGCTGCCAGGGCTCTGTGTGAGGAGGCTCCTATCCGCTGGGTTAAGAAGAAAGATGGTAAGTCGATGGGTCCAGCCATGCCAAAACCCCCAGGTGGTCTTTGCTCCCCTGGGCTGCGAGCGAAGGCCCTCTTGAGTCCAAACCGGAACTCCCACATTCCCAATCAGCAGCGCTGCTGCTGGCATTTGTTTGGAGCTGCTGAGAGCAGCGAGGGTGGGTTTCATCTCTCCTCATTCCCTCTCCCGGCCTCCATCACTGGCGCAGGCGGTGCAGTTGGGGCAAAGGCAAAAGGTTGGGATGCTGCCAAGTTTATTTAACTGATCTAAGGAAAACAAGGTGCAGGAGAGCCTGCTTGGCCTAGTGGTTAAGGCACCAGGCTAGAGATCAGGAAACCAGGAGTCCTGGCCCTGCCTTGGGTACGAAGCCGGCTGGGGGACCTTGGGCCAGTCCCTCTCTCTCAGCCCTAGGAAGGAGGCGGCCAGGGCCAACCACTCCAGAAAACGTTGCCGAGAAAACCGCAGGGACTCGAAGGCACAGAAAAAAAAGCCCAAGGCACAAACCACCTTATATTGTGAGAACACTGCAGATGTCAGTGGGTGGAAGAAATGGGTAGAATCCAGTCCAGAACCACTTCCTGCATTCTGAATCGGCCGTGTGAATCTCACAGGAGTCAACGTTATTTAGTTGAATGGGATACCTCTCCCTCTGAAGGATGAAGAGTTAGCCAAGGAGGTTTTGCACGCTGGAGCACTAGATGTCTATAGCAGTAACCTTGGGATCTAGGGGCTTTTAAAATCAAAACATGAAGTGATCCAATACAGGTTTTTCCTCTAGATCCTGCAGATGAGCAACCCCCAATGCAGCTTATCCCTGCCAATATTCTAAAATCTATATGCTTATCCAAAGGACCCTGTTGCCACCCCAAATCCACCTCCACACACACTTCTGCTCCTCACAGATCCTCCAAAGCAGCGGCTCATCTACCTGTGCATTGACATCTGCTTCCCAAGCAACATCTGCGTCTCCATTTGTTTCTACTACCTTCCTGAGTGAACGGCCAAAGAGTGCAACTTCCCTGGCTCGGCTGGGGTGTGCTTGAACCAAAGAAGAACCTGAAGTCACCCAGGTCCCCTTGCTCGACCCAAGTCCTTCTGCCTCCCAAGAGAGCCCATGTTCTAATCAGGGCTCTGGACCAGCCAGAAGAAAAACAACTCTACTACATGGTCATCTTGTGCTCACCATTATATATATATATTTACAAAGTTTGTCACTTTCAACTGTAACATGTAAATAATTGTCTCTGGTAGAAGTAGCTTCACGATGAAGGTAAGATCCATACAAGCATTACGTGAAAGAAATCCTTTTTAAAAAAACAGTGTGTATAGGACCCTCTGGTTTGTGATGTGAGCACTAAAGGTTTCACCCGTAGGGTCACAGGGAAAATTCTGCATTCTGCTTATGAGGTATCCCTGCAGGTTTGGCCCAAGAGGATCCGTTTCCCAGCCTCATCTGTTCTTTTTTCTAAGCCTGTTGGCCTGGAGGGGCTGCCTGGGAAAGGGAGAGCCAGAGTGGGCCAGTCCCTCCTGGAAGGGGAAGGGCACCCTGTTCAGAAGCAGCCTTTCTCCCTCTGCCAGCTGGGGCTCTTTCTTGGGCCAATTTAGCGGAATAATTGGTGCCAGCCTCCCAAATGAAGCCTCCTCTGGGCTGGGGGTGGGAGGGCAGGGGGCAGGATCTGAAGCAGGACCTGGAAAAGGGGGCCTCAGGAAAGACACCCAGCTCACACCAGAACCAGGGGACAGGTGGCTCTTCCTACAGGCAGCCCAGACAAGGATACCCATCCCTGCCCAGAGAAAGGGCACGGGTTCCCTGTTTCAAAGCTTGCTCTGCCAGCCGCAGCCTTACACCACCTGCTGATTAAGCAGAAGGGCAGAGATGGTTAGTGCAGCTCGGCCTGCTTGGACTGGACTCTGCACCCTCCGCGGAAAGAGGCAATAGCCGACGGAGCCCAGCAGGAACATTCTTTTCTGCCCAGAAGGCAGACCCAGCTGGCAAAGAGGCGCCGCCCCAGCTTGCTCCTTAGCCCAAGACGCTGTCGTTGAAAGCCAGGCAGACGACCGCTTTCTGATGCCCGCTGTATTCTCTCTTGATCTCCCCCGTCTCCACACACCAGAGCCTGGCCAGGTTGTCCGAAGAGGCTGTGGGGGGAAGAGAGAGCTCAGGGGAGCAGGGCCAATCCCGGAAAGGAGGAGGGGCAGACAGCCAAGGGCTGGCATGTTTCTCCAGAAGGGCCCAACCCGTGCCAAGGACTCCTGCAGCACATTGGAAGAGCCCTGCAGAAAACAGGAACAAGTCTACAAGGAGAATGATCGGGGAATGGAAAACTAAGTTTTTTGAGGACTGAGGGAACTCAGTGTGCCCAGCCTTCAAAAAAGACATCTGGGGAACGAGATGGGAGCCCCCTTCAACTCTCTGTGGGGTGCCCCACAACAGGCAAAGACCCCCTCTCTGGGCACGGGAGAACAGATGCAGGTTCCGAGAAGGCAGATTCCAAGAGTCAGAACACCCTTCCTAAGAGTATGAGCAGTTTGAGGGTGGAGCGGGGGCTCCTCTCCACTGAATGGGCTGATTTTCACACGGATTCCTGCACAAAACAGGGGATGGACTTGACGGCCTCAAGGGAACTCCCAACTCTAGGATTCTTAGTCCTGCAAGAACATCACGAAGCTCAGAGGCCCAGTTCTCGGCTTGCCTCCATAATGGAAGCAATACGGACCTGGCCGGCGAGCTGCTCATTCTCTCCTTTTCCAAAATATGGGGATGATACTGCTCTAGGGAGAACAAGTGCATCTATCGTATTTTTGGCAAAGGGGGTGGGAAGGAGATGCATCAACTCTTTCCTGCTCCAGGAGAAAGTGAGCGGGCTGAGAGCCATCCTTGGCCAGGGTGGGAGTGGTGGCTCCGCCCTTCTCACCTGTGACAATATACTGGGAATCCCCTGAAAAGGCACAGTCCCACATCCAGCCGCGGGAAGTCTCCCCAGGGTTGTTGCTCTTGATGCTCAGCTCCGTCATCAGCGAGAAGTTGGAGGTCCTCCATATTTTGCACGTCTGGTCAGCAGAGCAAGTGGCCAAAAGCCTGGAGCAGGGAGAAAAAGCAAACGCAGCTGAAGACAGGAGCTTGATGGATCCGGCCCATTATTCCAATTGGAGCACGTCAGCCCCTTTTCTCGCCTTATCTGAGGAACTGGGAAGCATCTTCCCAGGTGGGCTCTTGAAGGAAGGGAGCACATTGGTGGCAGAAGGTCCAAGATGGGTCCCAGGCTGGATGGACCAAGAATTGGCAGAGAAGATTAAAGGAACAGCTGGATCAGGCCTGACTAATCAGGCTCCCAAATTCTCTTAGACTGGGCAAGGCTTGGGGATCTTCCTCAGCCAGCCCATCATCTCCTTTGGAAGGACCTGCCTCTCTCCCCAAGCCCTTGGCTCCCCCTCTCTGCCAGCTTGTCCCACCACTTGAGCTGGAATGGTCAGGGGAAGAAAAGGGAGCCCCCTACTCTGCCCAGTTGTGACTAGACTTGGGTTCCAGACCGGCTTCGACAGCAGCAGAGACTCTTCAAACCTGAAGTGCAGCACGGGAGTCTAAGTGCGGGATGAGTTTGGACAGAGGGTACCAGGAGATGCATGCCCACCATAGAGGGGAGACGCCACCCAGTTGGGACTGTAGCTCAGCCCACACATTGCATACCAACACTAATCCTCTCGCCCAAAGCCAGTTTGGTTCCCCAGGCCAACATTTCCCCCGCCCCTCCCCAAGACGGAAGGTCCCTACTTTTCCAGGGCCAGGCAAACAGAACAATTTCACCAATTACTCACGTGGAGTCTGGGCTGAATTTGCACTGGAGTGCATAACGGTTGTGTGCGGGGATCTTGGTCTTGGGGATGAGCTGGGTCACCTCATCTCCAATGCCACCTGTGAGATTCCACACGTAACAGTTGCCCTGCAAGAGGAGACGTGGCTGAGAGGACGTGGCCCGCAGGCTCTCTGCCAAAACCCTCTGAAACCTGGTTCCACCTGCCAAGCGAGTGGCCAAGCTGAAGGCTGACGGAGGAATTCAGCAGGTCCAGGACAGGCTACCCTTACCGAACTGTTGACTGCAGCCATGTAGCTGGCATCCGGATCAATATGCACTGCGTTGACCGAGACTTCCGGCTCTGGGATGAGCTGTTCGTTGTGATCTGTTTTCAGGTCCCAGATGTGAATAGCCCCACTCTGATCTCCGACAATAAGCTCAGCCTAGGAGAGGAAAAAGTGGAAGGGCTTTTGCTCCTATGGCACTCTCACCCTCCCTGATGCAACAGGAAAGCAGGGGATCCCACCTCAGGGCTGGAGCATACAGATACCTGATTGGGATGCAAGCAAACACAGCTGATGGGCGCGTTCACCTGGAAAATGCGCTGGCACTGAAGATTGCGTGACCTGGAAACAGACAGGGCACAAGCGACGTGACAGGGATGAGCCAAGGAACTACCGTGACTTCTTGAATTCCAGGGACCGTCCAGCCTGCGGAAGCTCCAGCTCCACTTAACAGCGATGGCCACTACGCGGTCAAGTATCACACCGGCATAGCCGTTCCCACCATTCTCAAATGGTTGTATTTCCTAAAAATTCATCACTGAGTCAGCTCTGCACTCTTCCATGAGGACCACAATAGGTTTGCTCAGGAGAGGCCTTCTCAGCTGCTGACTCTGGATGGCAAATGCTTCTGCCAGAATAAATATGGCCGTCTTTAAGGGGCCACCAGACACTTGGTGGTTTGGGCCTGTTCCCTCTGACGAAACCTAGAAGCGTTCAGACCCTCAGAATTTCCAGGATGTATTTTTTCAGTCCTACAATGAGCAGAGTTTGCTCACTAAATTCCTTCTCTTTTCAATCCCTTTACTTTTTCTCTTTTCGCTTAAGGCAAAACTGTAAAACAGCAACCTCAGGAAGGCACTTTTGAAAAAAGAAGAAAGTTTACCAGAACTGATACCGAAGTGCCTCTGATACAGATTTTGCACATGGGGAAAAAGACAAAAATTGCAACTCAAACTCGCCCACCAAGAGGAACATCTCAATCACTTTGGAGTTAACTGTTCATTATCACACTAAGAAACTCCTGATTCAGATCAGCTTCTCACCCCACCGGTTCCAAAGCTGCACAGCTTTCCTTCACACTCTCTCATCTACAGTGGAATGCAGATGCCAAACTGGCGGGAGCATCCCATTCAAGCTGGAACAGCATCTTTCCAGATGCTCAGTCAATCACGATGTTCACGGTGCCCCTGGAAGGCTCCAACTCTCTTCTTCAAATAGTAAGAATGGTCAAACTTTAACAAGGTAGCAAATCTTACAAGGTCTCTATGCACACATGTAAGATCTCATGAAATTTGGGGCATTTAATTTTCTAAATCATCTTTTGGTTAATTTTACTCCTTTCCCAATTTTCTGAAGTGTGCAAAGGTGCCCACCATGTGGGCAAAGCGTCTGCCTGATTCCTCCCTGGGCTGCCCCCTTTCCACACCTGCATACTCAAGAGCCGTTCTTCGGCTTCCCCTAAAAGGAAGATCAAAAGTGAAAGGCCCACCGGAGGTCCCAGATGCGAGCCATGCAGTCTTCGCCCCCTGTGTACATCCACCGGCCGTCTTCATGGAACCCAACAGAGGTGATGTTCTTGCTGACCCCATCATAGTTGATCACGGGATTGGGGTTATTGGAATTCAAGTCATACATGCGAATGTGTTGGTAACCTGGACAACAAACCCCAACTAGTTCATAAGGAACCAAAGCAACAAATAAGTTACACGCAGAGGCGACAGCAGAGAGGAGCACCACCACGTCAGAATAAGGCTCCTTCGGCCCATAACTCTTAAGGGACTGAAACAATTGCTCACTGACCAATGATCTCCGAGACTGAAAGTCACTGCTCTGTCATTAATCTCAGTCCCAGCCTGGCTAAGCAACCTTCCATCCCAACTCACCCAACTGCCTGGGGGGCTCCCCTGTTGTTTCTTTAAAAAAAAAATTAAATGCATGAAGTAACAGGAATGATCATGGTGATGACAATAACGCCAAAATACAGACATCAAGTTCAGTAGTATGCAAATATCATCAATCTGTATCCTTAACAGGATGACAATGGCAAAATCAATGCTTTTTCTAAAAAAGGGGGAGTGGTTGGAAAGGCATATCATAAGCAGAACAGCCTCAGGACATGTTGACCAGCGTAGCCACAGGGTGCCCCTTCCCGATTGCACGTATTTTCTTGCTGAAGGCCACATATTACCTTTGGGCGGCAAGCCAGGGGCTGCCACACCCCCAAAGTGGGCAGAACCAGCATAAAGGGTGTGGGGGCCAGGAAGCATATAGTACTCCTGATCTACAAAAACATTTTTCCTCTCGGCCACATTTGGGAGCATTTTGGGGCTTGAAGATTGAGCACCCCAGCCTAGGACGTTCTCACAACTCTCGTCACTTTGGCTCAAGTGGCGGAAGTACACGGAAGGCCGAGAAAAGAGGAAAGACAATTGATACGTCTGGGTTCAGGAGGACTTTTCTCCCAAGTGAAACTGGCAGCAACCCTGACTGATCAATCGCTCTGGCTTTCTTTCTCGGGGAGGGGGGCGAAGGCAGTAGGTCAGGGCCCCGCTGCGAGTTCTTTCACTGTCTTGCACTCCTGCCTCCCCGCCCCAGTGAATCCACTCTCCCCGGGTGATGGGTTTCCAGAGAGCAAGCGTGGCCTCTGAGAACAAAGGGGCACCGATCCAAGTTCCAGAGCGGGGCTGTCGAGGACAACGCTCCGTGATCGGAGGTGGCGGAAGGACCATTCCGAGTCTGCCCACGACCGCATTTGAACCGAAGAGCCGAGAAACGAGCAACCGCAGGCACGGCATCAATTTCATGGAGCGCCCGCAAAAGCGGCCGCCGCCCAGAACGGCCCGCCCTGCCCTGCCCTGCCCTGCCCTGCCCTGGACGGCGAAGCTCTCCAGAGGCTTTTTAACTTAG